GGTAAGCTGAGGTCAAGGGATCGACCCCTGGGATCTGCATCGGCTACTGCCAAAGGTGAAAACTGTTTCAGTGGAAAAGGAACCGGACTGATGCTCCCCAGAATGGAAATGGAGCCAGGGCCATAAGGACCTGTTTAATAATAATAATAATAATAATAATAATAATAATAATAATAATAATAATAAAAGAATTGACAGTCCTAGGAGGAGACAGCCTTGGCTCGAAGCAAGTCTGAAAGGAATATGAAAGCATGGCAGCTGACAGTCAATCCTCGAAATAAAGAAACAATCAATGCTGTTCAGGGGTCCTTCACCTAGACCGAACAAAGAGTTTCGAGTGTGTATATGTTGTATCTATGTTGACTTATCATGGGAAAAGCAACCGGACTGATGGCCCCCAAGAATGAATAAGGAGCCAGGACCCGTTTCCTTAAAGATGAGAAAAGAGAATCGACAGTTCGACGCTTAACGTTCCTTACACCACAGTCCGAAGACGAACTTCCTTAATGTCCATCTCTTTTTTTTTCCCTCTCAAAAAAGGTCCAGGGTGTAGTAGAGGGTGGTGACCAGACCTCAGGAGGTGCGCGTAGTACTCATCCATTGGGATGTCAGATGGATTGTGAGGACCCAGGGGGAGTCACCTCAGGACGGCACCATGGTACCATGACCTATACTAATGCTCAGATCGCAAGTCATGATCTGCGCCAACGCTTACCGCACTAACCCGAACATCATCGTGCAGACACTACCCTAACTCTAACGTTAAGGAAGACTCGGGCACAGGTGGGGTCCATGCATATGCAGTCATCCCCCATCTGTGCCTCATCCCGCAGACTCTATGGGCAGCGAACCACCCTTTCACTTAGATGCGATAGACCGTCCTCCCCTATCCTAAGCATGATGCCTTCCTACCCCAGGCTCCCCAAGAGTCCACAGTCCCAACTAATTCTCCCAATGAGAATTCCCACGGACCCCAACCTGGATGAGGCACCACCCACAGGCATCGTGAGATACCTGTGGGATGGGAAGTACCGAGTACCTACCCCACACTAACACCCAGTGTGTCCGTAGGATTATTCCCCCCGAGATGGGCCCTACCGTAGTCTAAGTTTGCTCTGTGTGGACCCTCATAAGGGTGCCATAGTGATGGGAAACATACTAGGTGCACCCAGGCTTGACCATGGCAACCCCACGGATTGGTACATACTGGTGAGACTGACAGATCGGAGGGTCCAAGTGGCCACGCAGAGGTATCGACGGTTTCGACGGTTTTGGAAGTTGTTGGTTATCGACAGTCTAGGCAGTAAACCCTCCCCCTTTAATCTACCCTAATCTATCCCTCCCCCTTTCCCCCCCCCCACCAGTCCATGGTGGAGCCAAGATAAGACCCTGATCCTCAGACACCCTAAGACCAAGCACTCAAGCACCCTATGGCCCTATCCAGCATACTACAACCATGGACCTAGACCCCTTAGGCGGTGCACAGGCAGTGTCTGTATAAATCTTACCATGCATCGTCCCAAGGGCGGTGTGTGAGTGGCTTGTGCGTTATGAAAGCGCTTACCGGTGTACTTGCGCGAGGCAACAGAGTTTTGAACCCGCAAGTTCTGCAACCTCATACCACAATGCGCACTTCCAACCGGTGCTCTAACCACTGAGCCAGCGGTCCATCGCATGGGCATCTTCTTTTTTCTTTTTCCCTAAGAGTGTGATGCAAGGAATCTGAGCGAGAGCAATATACAGATAACCAAGTTGCAAAATCACGCAGAAGTCCAGATAGTCATGTAACAAGCAGATAGCTCAAATGCACCAAGATTCCATCCAAATAAGAGCGATACGATGAACTCATGAGCCAATGTCCAAGCCCTCCGGCCACACTAACGCAGTCTTCAATGTCGCCCCTACTGTCTGGCGCCAGCTCCCAGCCTACTCTACTCATCCTATCTAGCCTCTCTACATTCGTGCAACAGGCTCACTTCGACTTCAAAGACCAATGTACATGACGCCAACACCAATGCCGAACTCCCACATACACCAGGTACGTACTCTCGACTCCCCTCTTCACCCCTTGTCCACCCACACCTGCGCCCTCCTTCCTGAAGACCACCTTCACCTCCACCTGCCCGCGCCCCTACAGCCCGGCTATGGCCGCTTGGCGCCCCACTGCCCTGCAGCGCCGCGCGCGCCCCAGCCAGCGCTAGCGCAATGCAGACACTTGCGCTGAATCGCAGCAGCGTGTCCACATTGCCTGCCTAGGCCAGCCTTCCCATGCTGGCTGGCCTCCTCCCTATATGGGAGATGCTGCTGCTACTGGACTGTCTGGCCCTGGCCGTGGAAGTTTCCAGTAGCTTCTGGTCGGGCCCCAGTGTCTGCGCCCAGGCCCAGGTCTACAGTTGAGGGCCTGGGCCCTTTTCAGTTGGGCAGACCCAGGGTTATCCAGGCTCCGGATGTTTGCTGTGTTTGCATTGGCCCGTGGGGTATATGTGACGACAATGCTGCATTCTCATTGGCTCGTGGCCACTTCGTGATGTGTCGGCCTCACACTGCGTGTGCCCAGGGCGCAATCACCTGCGTCCTGGGCTTAACTGCCTGACGCAGCTGCCTCTTTTGGAAGAGCCCAGGGTGAGGCCCATGTTGCACTTCAACCAACTGGCGTGCAGCAACTGTCTGAGACCCACATTGGAAAATGCTGAGATAAGGGCCCCTCGTGGATATTCAGGCCCGCCTTCACTTAGGGCGGGCACGAGGCTTGCTTGTTATGAACCTGGTTGTTTGTTGTCAGAAGACCAACACTCGCTCACATAGACTTCCAAGTATGCCCATACATACACAGAAGGAAGGGGAGAGGATGGGAGTATCACACCGCATAGGGAGAGATAAACACAACGGAAGACTTGACCATGCGATATGACAGAAAACACTGAAAGTGCAATTTTCGCTCCACAAAATCCTCACAACCAATCACAAAGGAAAGTCGAGTAGATCACATCCAGGAAACAATGAAGCAATGATAGTCCACCCACAGTATAAACACTGTTTATTAAACTCAGAGTCTCGAAATGTCAGGATAACCCCAAAACCATGGTGCGCTGCTCAGAAATGAGCAGCGCTCCAGTCCCCAACCCTGAGTAACCGCTATACTACCCCAGAGTCCCTGAAACAACCAGCGCCACCCAGATACTGCCTCCAGAGGGAAGCGCCACCCTGAAACAGGCCTCTGAGGCCAAGTGTCTCTCAGAGGATGAAGAAGAAGACCAGCGCCACAGTATCTGATGATGATGAAGTGCCAGAGTACTTCCTAGGTCGAAGTTTGTAGCCGCGCCACCTCTCCTGACAAAGATGCTCTCTGAGGAAGAAAGCTGCAGCTATGGCTGCAGCGCCAAACACCCTGAAACCCTACTCCTGAGGAGGGTTCAGCAGGGCACCAACTTCAGTTGCCTCCAGCAGACTTCAGATAGCCCGGACCTTTGAACAGCCCCACGTGTTGTCAGAGCACAACGCAGGTCCCAGCTATGGCCGACACTTCGCAGGTCCAGCTATGTCTGTCTCCTCCAACGCTGAAGCTGTCACCACTTCAGTTCATGCGTTGTGCAGCAGCGATGTACACGGTACCAACTGCCAAAAGCCCTGAACCAATTCCTACAATCTATTAATAGAGCTACACTAGCCTAGCCTAGACCTAGACCGGACTGACTGGACCGACCGGTACCATTTCAGTTTCAGCCTTTAGGACCTCTCCCTACCCGGCTATAGGCTATAGGGCCGTCTATCAGCTTAGTTGCGTAGGGCCTGTCTGTCCTAGGGGTAGCCCGGGCCTGCTAGTCGCAGTTAGGGTAGCTGTAGGAAATTCCTGTTAGTGCAGGCTTATATTTTCCCGAATTTGCAGATATGATCCTCACGAATTTTCCTTACAGGCAGGTCTCTCGCTTAGCCCTCAGCCAAACAAAATTACAAATCTAACCTACCTATGTTACAGCCTCGGGTCGACAGGTCACCGGCGACAGCAAACAGCAAGTCATTGCAGACCTACCCTCCCCCGGAGCGAGGACCTTCGAGCTCGGAGTGCAGGCGTGCAGATCCCCGAGGGTATAATCCCTTCTTAGCTGCCTCGTATTTGAGGACAACTGACTTTGTTGTCTTGAGAAGTCCTCTACGTGTAAACCAGCGATCTTCCGTATGAGGTTGGTACATGAACTTCACACACATCGGAGCCAGTACCCATCTCATCCTCAATCTTCCTCACTTCATATCCCTTCCCAGGGATCGGTGGACCAAATTGAGGGGGTCAGTCTGGGAATGCATCAGCTGAGGTAAAGGGAAACAACTTAGATGCATGGAAGACAGGGTAGGTTTGTAGGTGCAGGGGAACATCAATAACGCAGGATGGTCCAAAAGGATCAGCCCCCACTATATCTAAAACCTGCCATGGACCCATGTATCATGGCAACAGCTTAGGTGATATGTCCTCATCTCGTGACAACTCGGATTTGAGCACCCAAACCCAGTCACCAGTGCGAATAGTGGAGGGACGTTTGTGCCTATTAGCTTGCTGAATCATAGCCTTTTGGGCTTTCAACAGGTTGGCACGGGCGCGCTCAATGTCCACACGGTAACGCCTGGTGAACTCTGCAGTACCAGGTGTCAACGTAGGGGTAGCTTTATCGATGATGTCATCGAGAGGCTGTTGTGGCTCACGATCCCAGCGTAACCAGTAGGGTGTGAAGCCTGTAGAGGAGTGGACAAAAGTGTTATACACTAGTTGTGCACGACCCAAATGTAGATCCCAGTCTTGCTGATCTAGACTGATCACAGGATGCAGCAGCTGAAACGGAATATGATTCATCACTTCAGGCTGACCATTGGGTTCAGGATGACGACCAGGTGTCATGTCTAAGCGAGAATGAACGTAGTCCTTGCAGTAGGACTGCCACTCATGGCTGCAAAAACGGGGATCTCGGTCACTGACAATAGAGGTGGGTGGTCCATGGTGTGTGACCCACCTGTCAGCAAATGCTGCATGTATGGCAGGAACTCTGGCTTCTCCTGGCAAAGGGATGAACTCTGCATATTTGGAGAACCTGTCCACACAGACCATAACCTGACTCATACCACGAGGAGTGGTCCTACCCAAATCAGTAAAGTCAATCGATATTGATTGTGCAGGTGCCTCAGGGATGGGAAGTGGTTTGAGTTGGCCAAGAGGAAGTTTGCTTCTCCTGGCAAAGGGATGAACTCTGCATATTTGGAGAACCTGTCCACACAGACCATAACCTGACGCATACCACGAGGAGTGGTCCTACCCAAATCAAAAGTCAATAGATACTGATTGTGCAGGTGCCTCAGGGATGGGAAGTGGTTGGAGTAGGCCAAGAGCAAGTCTACGTACGACCTTATTCCTTTGACACAACTCACAGGTATCTACATACTACAACATGTCACTCCTCATCTCTTTCCAGAAGAACATCTGCGACAGGGCTGCATTTGATTTGAGGGCACCAAAATGACCACGAGCATCATGACACTCTGACATCAGCAGTGTTCTCAACTTGCGGTCTTGAGGAATACACAGGCGTTCCTCACCTGTACTGCAAGTGTACAACAGATCTGAAACCAGAGTGTAACCTGGTTCAGAGGCAGAATCATCCTGTAGGTTCCTCACTATGGGCCCAAAAATCGGGTCCTGGGGCAACAATCAGGCTATGGTCTCACGAGTCTTCTCCCCAAAAGAGTGAGTAAAGGAGATCAGGAAGAGAGCATCAGGCCTTTGAGAAAGGGCATCTGCCACTTTGTTGTGGCAGCCCTTCTTGTGTTTCAGTTCAAAGTCAAATAGATCAATGAACTGAATGTAGGGAGCTAGCTTGTCATTCAACTCTCCCTTGGACTTCATCCACTGAAGTGTGGAATGATCTGAAAAGATCTTGAAGTGCCTGCCCAGGAGGAAATGCTTCCAATGCTTGAGCGCTAACACAAGAGCATAAAACTTTTTCTCATAGGTAGAGTCCTGCAGCTTCTTAGCTTTGATATTCTTGCTCATGTACTCCACAGGCTGCAGACCATTCTCATCATCCTGTTGAAGTACCGCCCCTACACCATACCGACTAGCATCAGTGGTTAGCACAAAAGGCAAGGTAGTGTCAGGTAATTTCAGAACAGGTGCACGAATCAAGGTCTCCTGGGGACGCGTAAAAGCCTCCTGACATTCTGATGTCCAAAGAAAGGAAGTGTTTTTCTTTGTGAGGTCAGTCAAGGCTACTGCAATAGAGGAGAAGTTCTGGGTGAACTTCCTATGATAAGATGCAAGACCCAAGAAAGAGCGGACATCACAAACGTTCACAAGCTTCGGCCAGTCCCGAATAGCAGCAACTTTCGTTGCCTCAGGAGCCAACCCCTCTCCGGAAATGACATGACCAAGATAAACAATAGAGAACTCCAAAGGAGGACTTCTCTCTGTTGATCTTGTACTAATTATCATGTAAAGCCTGGAGGACGAGAGCCAGATGTTGCGTATGCTCCTAGACACAATGACTGAATATCAGGATATCATCCAGATAGACAACTACAAACTTATCCAGGTAAGGCCTGAGTATGCGATGCATCTTGGTTTGGAAAGTGCCAGGGGCATTGCAAAGACCGAATGGCATGATCGGGTACTCATAAGTACCATATCAGGTCTTGAAGGTTGTCTTGTGGACATCGCCTTCAGCCATCTCCATCTGGTGGTAACCAGATTTGAGGTCGATCTTGCGAAAGATAATGCAGCCCTGCACCATGTCCAGCACGTCATTGATCCGAGGAAGAGGCTATTTAGACTTCCTCGTGATCTTGTTGAAACCCCTGTAGTCCACACACATCCTGAACTCACCATTTCCCTTTGGAACAAAGAGAAATGGTGCCCCAAATTCAGATATGCTGGGACGAATCCAGCCCTTGCTGGTCGGGGTCTCCAACTGTTTCCTGAGCTCATCAAGTTCAGTAGGGGACATCCTGTAAACCCGGCCCTTGGGAGGGACCGAGCTAGGCAAGAGCTCAATCTTATGCTTGGTCTGCTTATGGACAAGTCCAGTCCGCTCCTGCATAAGGTCTGAGAACCGGTCAACTACCTGCTGAATTTGAGAGGGACAGGGAACAGTCTCCACATCAGTCTGTTTGACATATGCTAGAAACAGACGTGTGTGGTCAGTCTGGTGTGACAGTTTCATGAAACTGCGAGCACGCATACAATAGCAGCTACTGGCCGAATGGTACTCATCAGCGACATACAGGGGCGATACACCCCATGCCGGTCAGATAGCTCAACCCTAGGAATCCGCCAGTCGATCCTGGGGTTGGTGGCACTAAGCCACCGCAAAGAGAACACAAGGCGGTGCCTGATTTCTCCCTGCTTGTCAAAAATCACAGGTAGATCCTTGACAACAATAGTGATCCTGACTGTAGATGAGTTGCCAATGTGAACCACAATAGGCTGTCGCAACTTTACCAGTCTTTGTTCCAAGTTGCAGCCTGTTGACTGTCTTGGGAAACATAAAGTTGCGAGTAGCCCCACAGTCTAAGAGCCCTTTGAACTTGGCTCCCAGGATGGAGGGCCGAAGCAGGATGAGCCCTTTGAACTTGTGCTGATCTTCTGGTCTAATGGCAATCTAATGGTAGTCGGATTTTCAAGTTTATCTTTGTAAAGTACTTACATCCCTGCACCCTATCCAAAAGGTTGTCGATGCGCGGTAGGGGCTCTGCGTTTTTAATAGTGATGGCATTGAGGCCCCTATAATCAATGCACATCCTTAGTGATCCCCCCTTCTTCAGTACAAATAGGACTGGTGAGCCGAAGGGGGAGATGCTAGGCCGTATCCAACCCTTTTCTGTGAGCTCTTTCAGTTGTCGACGGAGCTCGTCCAACTCAGCCGGAGCCATCCTATAGATTCTCCTGTTGGGTATCTTGCTCCCAGGGATGATCTCTATGGCATGGACAACCTCCCTGTCTACGACACCTGTGGGCTCCTCAAACAGATCAGAGTACTTAGCGACGACACTCTCTATCTCTAGGGGTGATTTAACGGCCTCCCCTTTTGCAGAGACAAAGACCAAGTACATACCCTCCTCTTGGTTCTGTTTATTATAGTTATAAAAGACCGATGCGCAGAAAACACCCACAGGAGTTAATCAACCAACTAGCTTTACACTTAGTCAGTCTAACGGCCCTCCCATTAGGCAACTCGTGCTTCAACACTTTTATGTCCCAGTCAAACTGGGGCTTGGCAACCTCAAGGTAGTACATGCCTAACAACATGTTGAAAGCCAGGTCGTCACTAACCAGGAACGATATCTTATGAATCAGTTCCCCTCCTGGATAGGATAAAAGGCAGACCACATCTTTCACGTAGTCCTCTACCATTATGTGCTTTTTGTTGACCAGAGTAGATGCTACCGGTCTACTCAGGCGTTGCACCCGATCCTGTAGGCGCTGTCTCTCAACGCAGTCACGACTTATAAAGTTCCAAGTGGAGCCGATGTCTACAAAGGCCCCGCATTTGTTGTCCCCCACACCAACTTCCACAACGAAATGCTCCCCTCTAGGACCTCTACTCGGTGCCACCCACGACTCACGAGGGTCCCTTGACGACCACTCACTTTGTAGGTCCTCTAAGGCCTTAGACACATCCAACGAGCAAAGTATCGTTGGGTCAGGATGCGTCTGCGGGGTGACTAAGGAGTCAATAACTTTGACCAACTCTTGAAACGGGAGGGTACATCACCCGCTTCAACGAGAGTAGAAGCAGCTATAACTTCTACTGGCCCTAGGTGTTTCCCGAGCCAGAACTCGACGAGGCCCCACTTTGGGAAGAAGGTATCCCACCCTTAGGTGGTATCTTATGCGGGACCTTAGCATTTTTGCACTTAAACTGTTGATGGCCATACTCGCCACACTTAATGCAAGCACCCCGCTGGTAACGATCCCGCCACACATCTTGATCCAAACCTGCTCGAACCCATGCCACTATCTTGTGCGGGTTCGGGGTTTGCTCCTGACTCCTCTGCTGTCCGCCCTTGCCGCGGCCAGCTGCCTTACCCTTCACTACTGCAGTGAGGTTGCTACCCTCAGCATCATCCTCTCAGTCAATCTTTGAACCGTCCACAAGATCAGTCACATCCTTGATCTCAGTCGATTCCCATCAGAATCAACCATCATCAATCAACTACCCTTCTTTTTCCACTCTTATGGACTCTTCTTCTTTCTTCCATCCATAGAGGGGGCCTGAGCACCTCCTAGCGTAGCCTTCAAATCTAAGGCCTTCTTGCTAAAGGTCTCAAAGGTTGATACGCTAGTCGAGCCTCGCTGGCTAATAGGTTCTTGATGTTTGTGGGAAGACATCTTAAGAACATGGTCAACAAGACCTGTTGATTGTACTCAACCCCGGGGACGACAACCAATCGCTCTACAGCTGAGGTGAGCTCGCAGACAGACTTGTACTTTCTAGTATCAAGCTTCAACAACCCACCAGTGGCAATATGTGCCTGTTGGGGGTTGTGCCATCACGCTTCCACTAGATCCATAAAGCTCTCCAGGGTATGGGTCTTCGCCCAGTCACCCATGTTCCTGCCGAATCCCTTTGAGGCCACCAATCCATTTAGCCAGTTAGCTGCTGATCCCTCTAAATAGGAAGCAACAGTTATCACTTCCTCCTCCACCAATGTCCTCTTCGCCCTCACCCACACTGGCATCGTTCTCAACCAAGTGTCGAGAGCCTCATCCTTCTTGTCTCCTGAGAAGGTTGGAGGTGGTTTCAGTGGGGTCTTGGGGTACCAAGGCTGTTGCTGTCCCGCTGGTGGGATAGGTGGCGGCTGTGGTGTAGCTCCAGCCGCTGGACCAGAAGATGAAGAAGCAGCAGTCTGTGCTACTGCTGCTGATATACCGCTTGGTGTGGTACCAGACTGAGGCAGATAAGGGCATGTCATCGTTGAGAATGGCAGCAATGGCAAAGCTGCTGGCCTGACTCCTGGGCTGTGCATGGCGTTCAGGATCTGGTCCAAGGTGTCCTGGATAACGTCCAGTTTGTTGTCCATGTGTGCGTGCATGGATAGGATGCTCGCCTTAAGAATCCTTGCGGTGTCTTTGAGGGCCGAGTCATCTAACCTCTCTAATGCAGCTTTGTTTGCCTCTTTACTCTCTAGTCTGATACTTCTATTTCTGATCTCATTCTCCCTGTCGGTAGCTTTCTTAAGTTCCTCCTCTAGCCTTAAGCGGATCCGCTCTACTTGTTGGAGCTCCATTTGCTCCCTGGTGCGTGGAGGCGGCGAGTTGGACTGCAAGCCCGCCATCTGACTGGCCCCGGACCTCGTTGTACTGGAAACGGACTGTCCAGTGGTGTCCGACATTCCCAACGAGAAAACGGACGAGGTTGTTGTAGTTGGTGCCGCAGATGTAGCCATTGCCACTCATCGACTAGGCAAACGTTGTCTACACTAGTGTCCACTCTAGAACCTACTGCAACATGCGTCTAGCCGGTTCTAAAAATAAAAATAAAATAAAAATAAACATCCGACGAGTTACCTAGACTACCGGTCAAGCGGTATCAAAAGCATTCACACAAATTGTACACAATCTAAGTTGACCTTGATTAGTTTTCTTACAACAGCTTTGAAGAGAATTGGCTATGGTAGAATACTACAGTTCTAGTCTAGGTTGTCTGTGAGGTGTTAGCAGTCTGTAAACCAACTAATCAAAATAAAATAAACTATGTAGCAGGTGTATGCACAATGGGTATTGTTGTGTCACACTGTTGAGTCTCAATTGGAATCACCCTCCCCTGTATCCAACGTGCGTGTAGGCATCATCAAGCGGCAGTGTCTAAGGTGTGCATTAGTGGCCCACCCCTGTGCCCAAGGTGTATGTTTATGACCAGCCTGCCCGTTTTTCACCCTCGTGTGCAACGAGCCTTACGTCTGACTGATCTGGCTGATCAAGAGGCAGTTTAAGGACAACCCCCACGGTCCTCAGGAATTATTTTATGTCGCAATCAGGATGACGATCACAACCAATGGACAAATCAGACACCCGCCATAAATGTTTCTAGACGGTCTGGAGAGCGTCTGCATAGGACTGGTCAGTCCGCACACCCATTTTATCAGCGCAGCAAAGAGCCTTCAAAGGACAAAGCAGCAAGGCCTGCGTGTAACACTCCCATGGGTTGGCATGGTGACCGTGATCCGTGCTTCGACCAAGGCCCTTCAAAGGCATCGCCCTATCCTTCCAGACGCGCCACCGGGAAGAATGTCGTCTCTCAAGGTAAAGTGCTCACGACTCCTCACACAAAAGAGAGGACACTCAAGGTTGGACTCACTTCCTCGCGGTAAGAAGAGATTGAGAGGGTAGATAAGGAATGGGAACAACGTACCTAGAGATAGCTGCCCCCAACCACAGATTTCTCACCAATTGAGCCGACGTGCATTTCGATGACCGTTCATAGCCTCGGTACCACCCACAATGCAATGCAATGCCACCTTAGCCAAAATGCCACATCAGCGTGCTCTCATCATCAGACATACATCCGCTGTCGCCACAGCTCCCACGTTGTCGCCACAGCCTTCCAGCAGTCGGCCCCTCTACCTGGGCCCCACTATATCAAGCCAGCGTTTAGGTATCCTTACTGCACATGAAGCATCATCAGCGCACCAAGTAACAATGTCGCCAGCGCAAGGTAAGGGTGTCGGTGCGAATACCCTTACAAGGGTATTCGCCCTAGTTTGTGCATGTAATAGAAAATAAGTTTGATTGAAAGCCTATGTATATCGCGCGAGGCGCGGCTGTGTCTATGGTTTACGTTGACCAGGTGGCTGACTAGAGCAGAGAGTGTGTGGGCGCGCAAGTTTGAGGCGCTCATGATTCATTTTCTTATTGATGACTGTGGAGTTGGCATAGTTGTCGGCCAAGTTTTTATTTCTGATTAAACTAGGATTAAAAAAATTATGTTTTATTGACCAATTGCGCTTGTCTGTGACTTGTGCGTTCGTGCGGACGACGACATCAACAACAATGCGATTTTGAAATGTTTAGTAGACCCGCGCGTCATGCAGTACCCATCTATATAGGTGTCTGTTAATACTAGACCCAGCCTTGGGCCTAATACTATTGGTTACGGTGTCAGACTCTCATTCGGGAGGTTCAGGGATCGAGATCGAGCGGCGATGACTAGGAGATATCAGGCTAGCACGAAGGAACCGAGGGATCGAGGGCCCGGTGGGGCTATCCCCCTTGGTTTTGCCGTCGACAGCATAGGAACGGTGCTAGCGGGTTCTTTTTCCTCGATTCGTCATATTCTGACAATTAAAATTTTCTGAATATTTTATTATTCATTGTCGTATTATCATTATTATTTTATGCAGTGGCTTTTTTTTTTTTTTTTTGACTTGGACGCGGCGCTGGATTTAGAGATCGTACGGCGGTCGAGGACCTTGAGTTTTGGGTTGACCTACGGGTTCTTGTAGGTTCGGGATATTTGGGCGGGGAAAATTAACGTGCATACGAGCCGGGGGAATGATTAGCCCATGATGCGGAAGGGACCTGAATGGCAGGCCTTCTACGAGTGTACACCCACCAGCCATGATTTGTTGAGAATAAGTGTAAGTATGCCCGCGGGACCTTCTCCACTTCGGTCTTTAGAATTCTCATGTGGGTATTCGCCACTACCACCGACCCCAGCACCAGGCCCGGGCCGCCTAAGCCCACGCTTGGGCTTTACAACAAGTCGCGCCCTCTACTCCGCATTGGGGCTGTCCCTGGGGGAATTTGCCTATATGGAACTCGGGGCGGTGGTGGGCTTGCTAGAATGAGGCACGCAGGAGGAGGCTGTAGGGGGTTGGCAGTGATACCAGCCAGAAACACTGCTTGTCGGACAGGGTACAGGGACGAAAGACTAATCGAGCCCATTTGCTAACCGGCCGCTTTCGGAATATCGACCACGATAGACCTGTCCGAACTGTGCTGGGCGTTGCGAAACAGCTACGGCCGGTTGCTGCTTCAGTAGCAAGAGAGACGAGGCGGAAGAGGTAAGCAGAAGGGAAAATGAATCAGGACGCATTCTCTGCGTCGGGTCCATTCGAGGGAGCGAGTTATGGAGAGAAATAGCGGAGGTGGTGGACGCTGCGCTGTGGAGTTGAGCCGACATCAATGAGGCAGAGTGGAAAGTTGCTGGCAGTAATCGGGGAATAGGTGGGAGGCTTCGAATGAACCTAGACACGGATCTGCGCTAGGTGCATTTGAAAACGAAGAAGGTGGTGGAGAAAACGAGCAGGGCGCAACGAGAGAGGGATAACTCGCGCGATTCTTAATACAATCGGGCGAATGAAGGACGAAGATGGGGGTTTCCGAGGCTGGCGACCCTGAATCTGAAGCCAAATTAGTATGAAAGTTAGTGAAGAGTTAGTGGGAGAAGATGTTGTGCGGAGAGGTCGAAAGAGATGGGATATGGCGGAGTGAAAAATCGATACCTCACTCGATCCTCCACAAAATCGAGCGAAGTAAGGTGATAGATCGAGGTTTTAGACGCATGCGAGTACAATTACGAGGTTACTTTTGGTGTTAGAGGTGTAGAATAGGAGATGAGAGAGATAGGGCGTGCGCCGAGAAGTCGAGAAGGTGTTGAGGAGGAAAGACAAGGTAAAAGTTGATGTAACTCGGTCATTCGTTGATCGTTTTGAACGATCTAAGAGTCAAATCGGGGGTTTTGGATTGTCGCAAGTCTAATGGCTGCGCCAGTTTTTCGTTTAAAGCAAATGATTCATCAGTATCAGCTGATGGGGCAGCGCGTATGTGAAAGTTGGAATGGCAATGAAGTGCAATGAATCTTCCCCCGCTTTAGCGGAAGATTCATCCTCAGTTGGCACATTTGGTGGATGATGGAGGGATCGAAATGTTTACCTAGTCGGAGGCGAGAGGAGTTGCACGGTAGGAAGCGAGTATCTTCCCCTAATCCTTCGGAAGATACATTCGATTTTGCTCATACTGTCGGTGGAAGTAGCGCAGGGGCTGCCGCAGGGTTGGAGACTTACCTGGTGGCCAGGTGCATTCAAGAGAGAGAGAGAGAGAGAGAGAGAGAGAGAGAGAGAGAGAGAGAGAGAGGACTCACCTCGAACTGGCGATGCAGGATGAACCGAAAGTCGAGCTACGGTGCCAAACGACGAGGCGCAATAACGGGGGAACTTCCCGTGTATCTGTCCCGATTCTAGGGGCAGATTCAATCTCTTTTTGCACATTTGGTGAGTAGTGGAGAGGGGATCGATAACCACGCACTCTCACTTGTTGTCGCGGTCTGTTGTTTTAACCCCATTGGTGTTCGACAGGATCACGACTGTGAAGCTTCTTCGAGATCGCCATCACGATCTCAATGTTACTCGATGTTATTCGTTGGAGTTGCGCTGCTAGTCCTCGTACTCGTCCGGGTATTTGTCATTCGCAATTGCCATCATCATCGACCGGCTCATCGTGTTCGCACGAGTGTTTGAAGTCCATGATGTTGCTGTCACCCGCGTGGTCGGATGCGACAACGAGATAGGACAAAGAAGGAGAGAGTAGGGATAACGAAGGATCAAGAAGGAAGTCGGCACTTACCTGTATGAGAACGATGCACCTTCCTGTGTTTTAGCAAAAGGTTCACTCTCATTTTGCACGTTTGGTGAAGTGGTGCTTGTATGGCCCCTGCGTATGACTTCGATGTATTTCCCACCTTCTAGTGGAAATGCATTCTTATTTTGTCTGAATGTGGGCACAACTTTAGGGTAAGTACGTGCACGTGATGCTGGCCCGCGTATCTGAGAGTGCTCCCGCAGCTACTGCTGAAGAGCAACAAAAGGAAGGAGCTACGGTCATTTGACCGTCCGTCACTATTGAGCAGCACTCTGCTGTACTTTTCCCTGCTGTGTTTTTATTGCCCTTTCGATGTATTGCTGAGCAGTGTCGAGCTTGTTACTGCACGAAGCTGCTGTGAAGCGTAATACTCCTTCGACTTGGTAAGTCTTATTGTTAGCTGAGATGCAGCTCGAGGAGTCTTTTGAATCTGGCTGGCTGCAAAGCTTGCTGCGCTTGCTACTTGCAGGGTTGTTGTGCCATTGCTAATCTGAACATTCTACTGTGTACTACTGTTATCTGCTAGGCATAGTTTTGTTGTGTCTCAGTTGCTGAGTTTCGGGTTGTGCTGTGTTTCGACGCTGTTGTGCTCCACCGAGCATTAGAGCTGTATCTTTTTGTTGTGCATCCGCCGTTTTTGTTGAGCTGCGCTGTGCAGCGCTAAGTCAACTGTGTTTTGCTGTGTTTTCGCGTCCTTTCCCATCCTTTTTCATCTTGGCCCAGACCCACCTTCAACTCCTCTGCCAGACCTGTGAGGGAAGTACCTAGAGAGACTCTAACACAAGTAGTCTCTGGACAGCTACCTAGACACTGGTCAACAACC